ATATAATATATATATATATATATAATATATATATATATATACAATATATATATATATATATATATATATATATATATATATATATATATTCCTTTAATATTGTGATTGACTGTAAATAATTTATTACATAATATAATACAAACTAGCATAACTAGAGACCTAAATAAAAAGTTTACTAAGATTTCTAGTAGGTCTCTAGCCCGCACTCTACAATTATTGTAAATATACTACACATAAATTTATTGTACATGGAGAAAATTTTTAAAATAAAAATAAATAAAAATAAATAAACTATTAACAATTAACGCATTATGATGAGTATTTTACTATTTTTTATCAACAAATACTTCAATATTTGTCAAAACTTAATCTAAAAGCGATTAGGTGGCCTCAAAAAATGGCTTCAAAATTATGTAATGTAAGCCAAATTCATGATAACTATAAAGTATGAGTTCAAAATACCAACAAGAACGTTTTTTGTATTTTGCGGATTTGCCCAATACAACATAATGCGAACAGTAATGCAAATCAGTTAATAAATCAACTGATCATTACTACTTGCCGAGTGTCTCATATTACACCACTAAGCTTTTCGCGCGGATTATATATTTCACGCAGTACTAAAATTTGCGCACCCAGCGCTGCGCGAATTCTAGTCGTAGTACTGCGCGAATTTTAATACAAGTATTGTAATAGCCCGCGTGTTTAACCATTGTGTTCAACTATACGGCTCTGCGGAGGAGACTGCTTTTATATAATATTACTGTTAGGCACCGCCTCTAAGCCTCGTTGACGCGCGCAACCAAACGTTCCCACGCTTGGCTGCAAAGCAGGCTCAGGTTTCAGCCTTCGCTTATGGATAACTTGGATAACTTATCTACTATACCTCCACACGTAATGCTTTGTTGTGCAAACAACCAAATGGACAACTTGCATGTTAGACTAAATTTTAATCTAAGTAAAGAGAAGGGAATCAAACACCACAGCTATAAAAAGAACATAATGAAAATGGTAAAATTGCAAAATTTGGTTGCGAAATGTTGTAAAGCTTGGAAAATATAGTCTTGGAAAGTTTGCAAATTTTGTATATGTATACATTTTCGGCTCAAAAATGGTATTCTCCGCACGTAATACAAACATAATTATACAAAATATGCAACTGAACTTCGCAAGGCTATATTTTCATATTTCGACAACATAGACAACATTTCGCAACCAAATTTTGCAATTTTACTAATTTTAATAAGTTCTTTACGGGACATTTTTGCCTTGATCAAAAATTAGTCTAACATGCAAGTTGTCTTTGTACACGCAAATACCTAGGTATACAGTGAGATCATAAATTCCGCGACATATACATTCTGGTCACCCGGTACGACCATTTTATGCGGACTAGATAGTCGCTAAAGTATGCGGAAAAGTGGCGACTGATAGTCGAAGAAAATGTGCACCGTCGTATGGCTGAGCCTGCTAGTAAACCGTAACCACTCCACAAAAGTTTTAGTTATAAGTGTAACTGTCCTTGCTTGGTGGATGGTGGGGAGGTGGGAGGATAGTTCCCCGGAGGGGTAGCTGGCCGGGGTTAGGGTTTGCGGTTAGGTTGCGGGGTTAGCAGGTGGGGTTAGGGGTCAGTGGCTAGGAGGTGGGGTTAGGGTTAGGGGTTAGGATTAGGGTTTGGGTTAGGATTAGCGTTTGGATTGGAAGTGTACATGATGCGCGACTGACAGTCGCCATTTACTCGCATACTTTACCAACTATATAGTCATGTGGATATGGTCGTACCGGCTGTTCTGGTACATAAGCCAGTCTAATCTGGACTCTCTCTCATACTACTATATACTTACTTTGAAATCGGTAAAACATAAATCCAAAATGCTCCTGGATTTGAAATCTCATTTGGATATACATCAATGCTAAGACCTCCGATCGAGAGAGCAGACGTAAATGATGACTGATATCCGTAAGTCTCGAATTTTTTTCTTTCTCTCCCATTATCTATAATAAAACTCGTAATGGAAGCGTTTCTTTCGATCCTTACAGTATGCCAGTTGAAATCGTTGTATTTATGCTCACTAGTAAATTTCCTGTGGATACCCTTGTTATTTTGACTCACATAAAACGAAAACCATAATCGTCCATTTTGAAAAGTTACTTGTATATGATCCGATATCCCATTATCATCTTGGTAAAGTATTAATGCCCTATCCACGAACGTTTTGAATTCGAATTCAAAAACCCCACTCGCGAGGCTTTTGTTAAGGTGGCTCCCTACAGTTATTCTTGTTTAAGCAATAATTCCGTAAAACAGGCTTATTCGTGCAGAACACGAATTCTTTTCGACTTGGTGGCAATATTGGTCACCTAAGGAATATTTCGAACTAGATTTCGACGATGTCAATGTTCCCATGGCAACATGACGACAGCATAAAGCCTTCCAATTTAACCCATAAATGTGCCGCTATCTCAAAAACGATGTCGGTGACCTATCTTTTTTATTTCATATATCAATAAGGAATGATGCTCTGCAACTGTGGTGAAAGTTTAAAAAAATTCTGTAGTGTGTGATTTTTTTAAAAGCGAAAAATTTATTGCGAAATTTCCACACTACAGATTTTTTTAAAATTTGAAATTTATAAAATTTACCGCAAAATAAATTCGTGGTCAAAATTTGAAGATAGGTCACCGATGAAACTAATGAGTAAAATGCAAATAAAGTTAGAAAATAGCCTCGTGTAACTCGAGAAATTCCCCTATTGAAAAGCGTCGCTGACTAGTAAAAGATTGTACGCGGGCGCAGAACGAGTTTTCATTCAGCAAAATCCAGCCGCAATGTTGTTTTTACTGTTTTGTTTTTGTCAACTTTTCGATTTATTTGAGTGCTATGGACAGCCAAGGATTATTGTGAAGGATTAAATCGATGAAAACAAGGTTGAAGCTAATTGAATCCTGCCGTTTACTCAATCTATGAGCTGTAACAGCCTATTAACAGGTGGACGTGTTTTTTGTTTCATGTTTGGTTTTGTACTTTTTGCTAAAAATGAACAATTAGGCTATGAAACTGAAATATTTTTCTGTTTACATATAATCACTTTAATCTTGTAGAAACACGACTAAAAACGTGAACGTTTTCTTGAGAAGTAAATAACTTTTTAAACGTTTGTATGCAATTTTGCAAATGTTTTTAATACAGTTGAGTCAGTTGACAGTGTATAAAAAAAATTAAAAATACTGTTTCGTATCTATTTTTTGGTCTAGTGATATTCGAATCATACGTAGAATCGCTGTATAGACTCGCAAGTGATTTGGCACTCAAAACGAAGTGTTATTCAACGCTTTTTTCCATTAAAGACCTTTCAGAAATAGCTTTATTTTTGAGGAAAGCATGGTTAATTTTTGTTTTGTTTTGATCATGCAGTTGCGTGGGATATTTCACGTACTTGTCCCGCGAACATCCGGCACGGAACTGTAGGGAGCCTCCTTAAAAATGTTTAAAAATGTTATCAGTAAAGCTGTAAAGCCTGGTTTCTATGTGGTCGTGACGGTCGTAAAGATTGAGTCAAGATCTTTCTCATCATCTGAATTACAACATTTTAGAACTGAAAATACGCGAAGTGATAGTTAAAACTAGAGAATACTTATGATTTATTTGTGGCTTACATGTATAAACTATTAATAGCTAGCCGTGGCTCTATTTTACGAAAGATCGTGGCTTTATTTTACGACCATTACGACCATATGGAAACCAAGTCGCTTAATTATAAGGAATCCTACACAGGACAAAACAGATTGTATAATGCCGGGGATCAAGGGGAATCTTGGGATCAAAGAAAGAATGAGACACGCGTTCACCAATTACCCGAAATGCCTTAGATTTCCAAGCCCGATTGTTAAAACTAAAATCGTAAATAAAAGCGTACAGTGTTTACCGCTTTAAAAACTAGGAGTGTTTTCGTGATTTGACGAACTAATTCGAGTTTATTGAACACGCGAGAAGTTGGAAAGTACGCACGAAAAAGCATAAACATGCACCTGGCTGACCTGTGTGCTTTCTCAACCTCCCGAGTGCTTTCCAAACTTTCCGAACTTTTCTTAAGGTGGCTCAATACAGTTTTTTTAAAAATGGAAAATTCACGATTTAGATGCGTATTTGTGGACAATTGTAACTTGTTGATAAACAAAAAGTACCTTACTTATATAAAACAACATCTGAAGAGTTTGAATTTTTGTACAAAATTTACGCAACTGCCGTTGCTATGGCAACAATGACATTTCAAGATGGCGGATATTTTGGCTTTAAAGTAATTTAACTCGTAAACGACATTGTTGACCCCCAAATTTTATTTTAAAAAGTGATTTCTCTTAGTACAACTTATTTTGACAATTTAAAAAAATTCTGTGGAGCTGAAATTTTTTAAATTACGAAAAGGTGATTATTCATAATAATTTTTTTTTGGCTCCACAGAATTTTTTTTAAATTGTTAAAATAATTGATTATACTAAGAGAAATAATTTTTAGAATAAAATTTGGGGGTCACCGATGCCGTTTTTGAGTTAAATTACTTTAAAGCCAAAATATCCGCCATTTTTAAACGTCATTATGTAAGTAAGGCACTTTTTGTTTATCGACAAGTAATAATTGTCCAAAAATTTGCATATAAATAGTGAATTTTCCATTTTTAAAAAAACTGTATTGAGCCACATTAAAAGTTATATACATGTGGTTTTATGGTTTAAAATGCGAGAGGTTTCTTCATGTATGTATTTCTATGTAGTAAATATTTAAAAGCGTGCAGCTGGATAGCCAGCGTGGCCGGCTCTTTCATAGGGCAGTAACTGGCTAGTAGCCGGGCTACGTGGCAAGGCTATTTTGTTAATTAAATTTTATGGAAACTGTATTTGATTTTCGGTAGTTTATACTTTGTCACTTAATTTAACCACTGACGATATAGAAGGCGCTAGAGTGCAAAGTAAGTGTGAGAAAGGATGTCTTTATTTGACCATGTTTGACTCTACAACAAATGTGTTTCGCCAACGCGTTTTCCAAGTGCATCACTTAAAACAAACAAGCTTCTTATCAGTCTTATGCGTCAACTCTTAAATAGTTCCGGCATCCTGCTTTGAATGAGGTATTAGATACAATGACCCAGCTGGAGTAATGTGATTTATCGCTTCCCTGAATGCATGTAAACACATGATGTCAATTACACCATCTGCAAATTGTTTGTCAGGTTATTGTCAATATAATAAGAAGGCTATGGAACTCGATGCAAACAAATGCTGACATAATAGACCTCATTATCGGTCTTGTCTAAAAGAACACACGAATGACCTGCCTCCTCCGCAGGCCCTTCGTTGGGCACAGTGCAGTGCAATTGCAATCTATATATATCAGTGGCTGTGATATCATTGCCGGGCCATTCCATAGATATCTTATATACACTAGATAGCGCACTCTTTTAGTAAAATTGAAGCCAAGAATATTCCAGCGGTTACCCTCATTTGAATAGACGGCGGCCATGTGGAGTTTTCCACTCGCTAATAAACGCTTAAAAAACAACAATAACTTTCATCATTTGAATATAGTTTGGAAATGTATTTGGAATAGGTTTAACTTAATATTTAAGTTCCCGGTTTAAGAAATAGAAAACTTACGAGTCTTCTCATTTCATGGGAATATCGTGAGTCTGCAATCACGGCTTCAATTTTTGAATTGCAGAATAATTAGATGCACTATCTAGTGTATATAAGATATCTACAGGGTGTATAAAAAAAGACTTAACCCTTTCAAATTCAAATTAGCTATAACTATTGTAGTAATTCGACAGCTCTAATTGCTTTGAATTAATGATTGGGTAAGAACACAAGGAAATGAAGGAATACTGTATTTCGTTTAAATTTTCTAATTTTTATTTCTTTGAGTTTTGTCCCATGAGTACAAGGCCTTGTGTTCTTATCCAACTTTTAATTCAAAGCAATTAGAGCTGTCAAATTACTACAATACGTTATAGCTAATTTGAATTTGAAAGGGTTCAGTTTTTTTATACACACTGTATGGGCAATGCACAGACGAATGACCACGAATAACCACGAGTGACTACAAATGACCACGAACGATTTCTGTGTTTATTATATACATGACAAAATTACTGCGATCTGATTGGTTAAGAGGAGTGCAATTATTTCATCAATTGCACTCTTCAGGAGTGCAATTAATGATTTTCGTGATGGTGGGGGGAGCTGGTTATCTCAAAAAAGGAAGAACTTTATTAAATTATCCTATTGTTATAATTTGAATTCCTGAGCACTATGCTGATCCCTCGAATGCGTAAAATCAAATTGAATTGACAGGCCATTTATTAAGAAAGGAAACCTTTAGAATTTAAAATATCCTTGTTAAGCGCAATATTTTCTACTTCTGCGGATTTATAATAGCTTTCAAACACTCATTGATAATTCATAAGCTTATTGACGAATCATGTCAACCATAATATGTCACTTGCAGTGGCTTTAAACCTGATAAAACACTCCTAATTCATAGTTGGTATTCTTTATATAAGGAATACTAATAAGGCAGTATCTATTGTAGTCGTGTCCTCATTAGTATTCTTTATATAACGAATACTAACAAGGCAGTAAATCTATTGATTGATTTGTAGTCGTGTTTGAAGCCGTTTAATAAACTCGCAGGTCGTGTTTTATTAGGTTTAAAGCCACTCGCGCTGCGCGCTCGTGTCTTTAAATCTAATAAAACACTCCTGCTCGTTTATTAAACAGTACTTAATTGTATAAAAACGGTTTTGTTTGGTATACAAAATTGTCTTGGCTCCGAAGCGCTGCGTTAAATCAATTAGCAATAATCATATGTTGAACGAAACCAAAAATCTCCCAAGCATAAAATTATATTCAATTGTGTTTACACACCCATGGGTTCTCAGTATAGCACTCAGGCATTCAAAATATAACAATAAGGTGAATTTCTAAAGTCTTCTTTTTTAGACATCCTGTATATGCCATTGGTTGTATTTGTTATGCATGCCACGCACATGCACATAGCGTATCTACATATATAGTTCAAAATACAGGGTGTATAAACTGCACAGTGCTAAAATGTCCACTAAACTGAAAATTCCGCAAAATATTTGGCAACTTTATTCCGTTAGTATGGGTAGTTTCATCCTCGTTCCCAGGACCTCACCGCCGCGCGAGACTTTATAGGCCCTGGGATACAAGGAACTGGAAGTGCAAAGAGCTTGCAGCAGTTTCTAAATCGCATGCTCTTGAATTGGAATGCTTCAGCAAACGTAACAATTTTCACACGAAATATTTGTGTTGACTCATTTTGATAGAAAAATTTTTCCTAGCGAACATTGCTCACCTTCTGCGAAATAGCAGTTCTGTGAGAAGCCAATCAGATCTCTTCCTTTAGTCGTCTGAACACAGCCTAATTTTCAACGACTGGCAGAGTGAAAATGGCTCTGGGGACGAGAACAGGGTAATTTGGGGTCTTCTGGTACCAATCTTGTTCCCCGAGCCTGCGAACCTCGGGAAGAAACGTGAGGCTTTAATTGGCATAATCCGTTTCACGGAGGAATCTTAGTAATGTTCTCAGAGTACGTTGTCTCGTTGGAATGTGGTTAAACAGTTTTTCTCATTTACCACAAAATTAATGGTACAATTATTTAACACCAAGTTATTGCATATCTTTTCCCATTAATTGCTGGTTCTATTAGTATTACGACTATTTCGAACAACTTAATTCACACTTAGTTGCGTCTTTCATCTTTGCGTCAAGTGTTCTTCGAAATTTTCTAAACCTATACATTTCATCAAAGTATGTGAATTTTACAATGGTAGTTCTAAATTACCCAGTAAATTATCAAGAAATTGCATAGTAAAATAAAGTAAAAATGATATTAAAGTGTGTACCTGCTGTCACGTTTATCCAAAATATTAAATCCTTCCTCTCCTTTTATATCAGCCAAATAACAATTTAAGCCGCACATAATCAAATACACACTTTTAGGAAGATAATTTTCGCCATTTACTTTTGCCGCACTTCGCAACCAAACTTGATTGCTGAGCCAATGAGCAACACTAGGCACCGACATTTCTGCGAGACGCACTGTTAAATCTTCGATTTGTAGCGAATCATGTTCATCAGTTGCGACATCGACACACGCTGTTTTGTTAAGCAGATTGTTCTGCAACTCCTCAAATACTCGTGGGCTCTAATTCTTCAGCAAACAAACTTTCCTCATCTAACGTCTTCGGCTCATGAAAACGACGACAAGACATTCTTCGATAAGTCAAGTTGTTGCAAATGTTGTAATCACGATACTCTACATGAGGCTAATCCTACGAACCCTACGCCCTCTCTTCTCCTGCCCAGACTAAACGCCTGCTACGCAGGCTATACAAACCCGTGAACTACCGTGTGTATAAAAAAAAGTGAACCCTTTCAAATTCAAATTAGCTATAACGTATTGTAGTAATTTGACAGCTCTAAATGCTTTGAATTAATGTTGGGTAAGAACACAAGGTCTTGTACTCATGGGACAAAACACAAAGAAATAAAAATTAGAAAATTACAGTATTTCTTTTAGATTTTCTGATTTTTATTTCTTTGAGTTTTGTCCCGTGAGTACAAGACCTTAATTGTGTTCTTACCCAACCATTAATTCAAAGCAATTAGAGCTGTCAAATTACTACAATACGTTATAGCTAATTTGAATTTGAAACGTTCAGGTTTTTTAATACACAGTGTAGACTGAACGCATAAAATCTAATTTATGCATTCGCGCCAGATCTGTATGGAATTTACAATGGCTCGTGCTACGCACTCGCTATTGTAAATACCCATGCAGATCTGGCGCGAGTATTTTAACTATAGTACTTAAAGATCAAGCTTTCATTTTACGTCAATCCCAAAAAATTTAAAATACACTTCAATACCTTGAACGTCATTACTTGACGAAATACTTACCGCAGGAACGTATAGCTTTCATTGAGCACCATCCAAAGTGAACTGTTCTCCATCCCTTCATTATAGTATACTTTACTATATTATACACACAACCCTAATATATATTTAATCATCATCATCATTATTATTGTTATTATTATTGACCTTTATCATTAGATTACAACTACTAGCTTTATGTCTAAATTCATGTAAAAATTAAATGATTACACAATATCAGGCTCTTATATTATTGGGCCAGTGTTTAGTTGAATATAGTTCAAGATTCATGGAGCATTTTAAATGCAACTAGGCACAGACAAGATATGTCCACTAAGCCCAGCATCGTAGTTTTCCAATTGTGTGGTAGCCGATCTCATTGTTTCCAGAGAAAGTACTAGTATCTCCAAACCTCAGCTCCGTCACTGGCAGTGTGCTCTTGTCTATCAGATATCCACTGTCTTCAGTCCAGACATTGTTATTCTGATCGCAGTTACATCCTACGCTTCGATCTATACAACTGCTGGTTACTCCGCATGCACATTTTCTACTGTTGGATTTTGCGCCTCCCCAATTTCTCATTCGAGATCCTGTTCGAGACACCCACCGAGAGGTTGGACCACCAAACCAAAAACCGGCGTTGTAACATTTATATTTAACAAACTGTTCGCAATTTTTGGATCCGGAAATAATTGCAACAATCTGATCCATGGTGGTGTCGTACTTGATTTTTCTGCTGTATCTTCCAGCGGCTTCATAGCCATCCACCTATGTAATGATATTCTCTTTAGATTATTTTTACAGTGCAGTATAGATAAATCGGAAAATAAACCGCTGTGGAACAAAACCAAAGAGAGGAAAGTTAACGGGATTTTATAACTAAATGTGCTTTTTAGATGAAGAGTTTGAGTTAAAGTTAGGGATACTGTTTAGTTATTAATAAACCAAGGAAAATTTACAAACGAGACAGTTTTTTGTTACGGTCGCTTTGCCTGCGCGGGAAGAGCGATATATACGGTGCAAGTCGAAGTGTTGCTGCATGCTTGTATTTCCAGTGTTACCTTGATGCTTGATTCACTGTCATGCCCAATCTCCGTTACACCAACGCCGTTTTTATCAGTCATATCACAGTAAACTTGAACTGTCATACTTGAACTCTGGGCTTTAGGGTTTATATAGTATTTTCCACTTATTGTTGAAGGTATTTTCTTTTTCAAGATCGAACAGGAAACTGGTGGGTGTAATATATCCATGCGTTTAAGAATATCTATAATATAAATAATATGTATATTTAAGAATATCTGTATAATATTGCAGATTGAAACCTGCCTATTTGAAAACTTTTATTAGAGAACAGGATCATTAATTAATGTTCCGACATTCAAAACGTTTCTGCCTATAATTTGCCGGATACCCAAAAGTAAATTTTTCTAAGCATTCATTTCTAAAATTTCAACACAATTAATAAAGTGATTTCTCAGTTTTACTGCGCATATGATATCTAATAACAAATTCTAGCGAATACAAGATGTATAAAAAAAGTAAACAATTTTGAAACGGCTCTCAATTTCACAAATCCGTTCATTTCATGAAATGTTCAATTAAAATAGATTGTTTGGGTACTTATACAGTATAGTGTAGAATAAACAAAAAATTTTCGTAAAGATAAATTTTCCAGAGCAGGTGTGACGCCTTTTTTAGTAGTATTAAAAATAGCTTGCGCGCGAAATTTAAAAGTTTAAAACGCATTTTGAGTTCATGGGCGAGAAATTTGTTATATGTTTAATCAAAGGTCCAAGTATCAGAATTTATGTCCACGCATTTAGTATGCACAAATATTTATTTATCTGCACCATAACTCCAAAGATTCAATATTTGTTTATGATTGTATGGATGCATGGGTAAAACAGAGTTCGTTATTTCAATTCAATACCTTTATACTTGTCTTCTTGTTTCTTTGTTTCTATTTTCTGAACCTGGATTTCGTTTTCTTGACTTCGCGTTTTGTTTTTGAGAATTTGGATTTCCTTTTCCAGAACTCGTGTCTTGTTTTCAAAAATTTCAATTTTGTTTCGGTCTTTTTCTATTGTATTATTCTGTTCCTCAAGTTGTTTTCCTTGATTTCTAATGGCTTTCTCTTGACTAACAATTTTCTTTTTTAAATTAGTTAATTGCCCGTTAACAACGGCTGAGTTGCTGTTTATTTTCTTTTTCAAAAATTCCACGTCTAACTTGAGGACTCTATTTAGCTGGAGAACCTGCAAATAGTACAGTAAGAATTTACATACACGCGCAAATGCATGCACGGATACAACTTCTTATAATATTATTTGAAGTTTTAAGGAAGGAACGTCTAAACTTAAGGCGTATAACGTGCGCACAAAGTCATGTTTTAGTTGAAATAGGTTACTGAAATAGGTTAAGAAAATTTGTCAGGATAGTTTGTATAGCATTTACCTATAATATATATTTTAGCTAAATTTGCATGTCACTGCATAACGTTTTAATTAACTCTAATCCATAATAAAATTTCAGCGCAATACTCGCGAAGACACCATCATTATACCAAACACTTCATATATAGTTAAGATCTAGGATATCAGTAAGCTAACCTCTTGCTCATTACTCAAAGCCTGCCACTTTGACCCTTGATTGACGTAAAGTTGTTTATTGTCTTCACGATACGAGAGAAGACCAGGCACGTTTGGGATCTTTTCTAAGCTTTTCTTGTCAGACGCTGTCAAGGTCTGAAAAAAATTAAAACTTGGCAATGCCCTTCTTGCTATTAAATAAAGATCTCAAACTCGTTAATAATTCATGAGTAAGTTAGCCAACCATTTGCTTTATTTTGCTCACATTAGATACCTGGTGATGTATACTGATCCAGTCCTAGGATTCCCTGCTGACAGAGGTCTCTATTTGTGAAGGAAAGCGAAGGAGAAGAGACCTCTGCCTAGATCCGACACGTTTTCTGTCGTGCATGCGCAGGGGTTGCCATAACATCGAGTGACGTTCACCACGTGGTATCAAGCCGGTTTTTACGGGAGCAACTTGCTAAATCAAAAACTTACCGTAGTTTGAAGGCAAACAAATGTATATCGGCCCGATAAAACAGAACAGATTGCTTTCTTTTGTCTTCTGTCACTGCTTTCACAGTTTCAACTTTGAAAATGTCAATTACATAACTTAGAGCACATTCAACCAACTTGAAAAACCTCGAAATGACATTTTGACATTTTGATATTTTGACATACGGGCTCAATGTCATTACAGCGTAATTCAGTTCTGAGCATGCGTACTATTTGTTTCCCAAAACCGGTTTCAGAACTTGTTTTACAAACTGGTGTGACTCGTCCACGATCATGGACTGAGGAAGTTTCAGATCTAGGCAAAGGTCTCTTCTCCTTCGCTTTCCTTCACAAATAGCGACCTCTATCAGCAGAGAAGTCCTAAGCCAACAAAATCAATTCAGTTTCAAATCCTCCAATTCGGACTGGACTAGATTTCAAGTCCTCACATTTTGATTCAGTCCTCGGCTGTTATATATTGATTATATGAAGTACTGTGTATATTAAGGACAGAGACACGCATGCGCAGGAGGGAACATGTGTAGAGAGAGTTCATCTTGAAATAGTCGTTATTAAAATTATCTTAAATCAAAGGTTACTTTTGCATTCAATCCTTACTCGGTTTCACGAGAAATACATTACATCGGTTTCGCCTCGGACTTGATCAATTGCGCGGACTTGAAATCTAGTCCAGTCCTCATTGACTTTGTCAGATTTGAAATATTACATCAAATAAGGGATTGATTGATTGATTGATTGATTCTTTATTAATTAAATATTTGTGCCCAATGATATTTCCCTATTTCAGTTGAATATTTCCGGGTATGTTATTAGTATGTAGAATACCAGATATACTCACGCCTTCATTTAAAAATGTACTGAACTGTTTGGAACATGACTCCTAAAGAGGATATAATATTTTTATAAAATTAACGATTATCGAAGTCCATACTATACCCAATAAGCTAAGTTTCTCGTATTAGATATAATATTTTAATACATATATACAAATTACAATATTTTACAAACAATGTTAACAACAATATTACACTGAAACAATATTTACAAATAATATTTAGTTTCTTAATTAACAGTGTCACATTTAACTGCTATTTTCGACGTCTCCTTTTCATGTTTGATATATTATTTCTTCTTTAAATATCAACTGCTAGTGTAACATCTTTCTTACCTTATGTTCCGTGCCGGTTTGTGGATCAATAAAATATTTTTCAATATTTCCTGCAGACGTTGAGGCATTCTAGGTCGCACCCAAAACCAGACGAAGGCTTTTTTCATCACTGTTCCTCCATTAATTGCAGTACATTTAGGACCACAGTAGTTTTGTCTTCCACCTTTCGGACCAAAACATGCACAACACTACAAGGACAAAAGTATCAAAATATAAATTGCATAATTAATATGAATGCAATTTTTGATATGTTCCTTAAGAAATTGGAGCATCTATTTCGGCAAAAATTAATCCATTACTTACTAGAAAATTAGCTCAACATCCATCATAAAAACACTGGATAGGAAACTCATCATCACGCATGATGTTTTCAGCGTGGATGGCATCACCAAATCCAAAATAATGCCACGTTAAGCAATAATACAACTAAACATTTCAGTAAAAAAACCCGTAAGTATACAACCATGCCACTCTACAATGGAATATCTAGATATTGTTGGTCATTCTTAGGGAACATATCAAACATTTTTAATAAGATTTTTACTTTTGTAATCGCGAAATTGGCGTCACCAAAACTACTTTTGATAGAATTAAAATTTGTCGCGCATTTTACTGTCTACGATTCGTGACATCATGAATTCCAAATTGATCACGCCCAGTCAACGCTACAAAAACTGGAACGATAACTTCGGCTGTTTTTCTGCGCTCCTTCGCCCAGCGGCTACGCTCGTGTTTCAAGATCCGCCATGTAAAGCGTAGTGAAATGTATCTCAACGTAATATTAAAACCTAAGAAAACTAAAGCTTCTGCGGAGGAGAGAGTCTTGTAAGTATGTCCTAGGTTCCTACGCGGAAGTTTACGGAATTCAGTACGAAAAATCGGCATTATTTCACGTATAGAAATCTCGTAATTTTTTGGCCAACTATTTCTGAAGTCCGGCTTTTACCATATAGCCCTGAAAAACTAGAGCAAGTGGTATGTCAGAATAACCACGTTTTGGAAACACTTCATCATAAAAAAGAATGAAAACCATGCAAGTTCAGAAAAAACCCCGCGGAGAAACCACACCAGCAATGGTTTGTTTTTCTGGACTATTTACGAAGTGGTTGAACTGAACACATGATAAATAAATATGGACTGCTGTTGCATCATCTTACCTTTGCGTTTAATTTTTAGCTTTTAGGTTTGGTATTTACCATTGAAATGGACGTTTATGTGCAAAAAGTTGAAAAACATCGAAAAGAAAACCTTAGTCAATTAAGACATGCGTGTTTTATACTTATAAGAGAGCACTCTATAGGCCGCCACCTTAGCTTCACCCAATCATATAAGGCAGTTTACATGGAGTTATATCGTTCCAGTATTTGTAGAGTTCACTGGTCACGTCTGGTCACGTCAGCTGTTCCCTATCCATTTTTATAATTATCCATGGCTACAGTAAGCCAATAGTGTAGTGTATGTGGTAGTTCGGTCGTTTTACCTTGTCTTGGTCACATCCAACAAATGCTGTCGAATCATGATTCATTCCAGAATACGGAGAAATCGCGCTAAAGCTAAAATTAAAAGGGAACGTAGCAACTTGAATTTCGTAAAGAAAATCTTAATTTTGAAAAATCGAGAACTAAGAACTAACATCATGCATGCCTCCGTGACCTTAACGATGTACTATTTAAAGCACGCGTAGGAGTGTTTTATCACATATAAAACACGACGCGTAGCGGAGTGTTTTATATGTGATAAAACACGACTACGAGTGCTTTAAATAGCTTAAAGAACGACCCATCTTCTGATGAGTACATTAGCGAAGTAATTTTTAAAATAAACTTTGTCTAAACCGAGAAAATCAAAGCTAAAGATTATGTAAATTAACATGATTTTATATCACATATAAAACCACGACACGCTTATGATTTTTCTTTGTGTTTTCCTCCTGAATTATTAATGAGTTTTTTAAGTACTGTTTAAAGTAAACGAACAGGAGTGTTTTATTAGGTTTAAAGTCACGAGCGCGCAGCGCGAGTGGCTTTAGACCTAATAAAACACGACCTGCGAGTTTATTAAACGGCTTCAAACACGACTACAAATTCAATAGATTTACTGCCTTATTAGTATTCTTTATATAAAAAAATACTAATGAGGACACGACTACAATAGATACTGCCTTATTAGCATTCTTTATATAAAGAATACTAATTAGGAGAGTGTTTCATCAGGTTTAATGCCACTGCACGTGACATATTATGGTTGACATGATTTGCCAATAAGCTTATGAATTATTAATGATGTTTGAAGGACTTTTTACATATATAAACATTAATTTTCAATTAAATAATGTTAATGTTGAAAGAATCATGCATTTTAATCACTCGATGACATGCAATTTATTAATTAAATTAAATTGTGAAAATTAGGATATAATTGGTTTGTCAGGTGATAAAATTACAGCATTGAGGGTGGCAGGATGGAGTTATGAAAGGATCATAACGTTATTTTATCATGATGGTGTATATTATCCGATAAGAAACATCAGTCACTTGTGGGGGAGTCAGATAAGCAAGCATCAGGCGGCTAGAATACTTTGTGATCGATGTTTGATATCATTTAACAGTCAGAAGGGATTTGACAGACATCGTCGCGACTGTTGTTATCCACCGTCATCACCAAAGTATAATTCGTGGGAGATATACAAGTTTAATCCTAAATTTTTGTTCAAGGGTGGTGTTAGGATGTTGCGTGTGGAAAGAAAAGTTCTTTTTTATAAAGAACCACTTCCCATATTCGACGAAGCGACAACTGAGATGATCGAGGATTTTGCACAGGAGGATTATTCTGAGATTGTTCGCGATGCATACCATCACCCGAAACTTGCACAAAGTATTTGTGTCAAATAAAAAAATTTTTTTTCAGTAACACCTTATGTAAATAAATGAGTATAAGAAAAAGAACGGTCGTAAGAATCCGGAACGTTAGTACTTGCCATTTTTCCATACTCGTTCGGAGTATTGAAAAAATTTTTTTTGTCTTATACGGATATATAAAGTATACTAAAAATGGCAAGCAACGATCCAGACTTTTACTACCGACCGCGACCGGAAGGTATTCGGTCGGTTCGCGAGGAAATGAAAAATTCTTCTCCCGTTGTACAAGAACAACAAAATTTCGGAAAAAGTATTAAATCTACGGCGAAAGAATTTGAGGATCGTCCAAAACAACGTAGGAAGGAAGAAAAGCGATGGAAACCGACCAAAAGGGCGACGGCACAGAAACTTAGCGACGAGAAAAAATGGGAAAGACACATCGAGAAAGAGGAAAAAAGACTTCGTAAGGAAGTGGCCCATTGGAAATCCGAGGCTTAGAAATGGAAGAAGGAAACACAAAGACTTCGTAAGAATGAAAAGGCACGTCAAAAATATGCAGAGGTTCGTTACCGCAAATTAATGACTGGTGAGATGAGACTTCGAGGTGAAGATTTTACACCCGTCTTACAACAACATGCATTTTTAGGACGTGCCCAGTTGTATACGATCACACCGAATAAGATATACGATCCACCTTATTTTCTGGACATGACCGGTCGTCATGTCCACAATCTCGTAGATTCGATCGACAGATCAAAAAAAGTAAGGGTGACTTTAGTTTGTGTTATGAAACAAGTGGATGAGGCTACGGGAGAAGTAATAAAAAGGGATAGGAGTCATTTTCATTCAAAAACTTATGCGATCATAGGACGAAGTTTAAGAGATGGAATTTGGGACGAGATGCGAGAAAAGATATTGCAGTCTTTTGCAGAATATCAGAAAAACGGTAGCAAGTGGTCGTTGGACAAGGTAGTTCGGTTGGAGATTAAGATTGACGAGTATGATCCGGCCCGTGGTTCTGGATTTGTTAAAATGCCGGAGGGATATACGAGAAGCAAAGGGATTGTCAACATGAAAAATACCGACAATCAATGCTTCAGATGGGCGGTGACACGCGCACTGAATCCGGTGGGAAAGGATCCTGCTCGCATTACAAAAATTCTTCGTCTTCAGGCGGAGAAATTAAATTGGAACGGTATAAGTTTCCCGACTGGGAAAAAAGATATTCGGAAATTTGAAAGACAGAATCCTGGTGTTCACGTTAATGTTTTTGCATTTGACGAGGATTTAAAAATTTATCCGTGGTATATTTCGGGAAGTCCGGATTCGATCAACCTGGTATTATGGGAAGAACATTTTGGTGTCGTTACGGATTTGTCAAGATTTATCAAGGGAGCACGCCAGAAATACTTGTGTAAATTTATACTAACCTTTTAATTACATGTAAATGTTTTCAATTTTCATCGGCCGCCATTTTGAATGTTGAAAGCGGTATTAGCGTATCGCAGGCGCAATAATTTATGTTCATCTTTGACATTAATTTATGTTACACGATGATACTCCGAAGGGCGACCGAGAAAGATCCGAAATTTAAAATAAGGCGGAGAAATAATAAAAAATAAAGAGGGGAGTGAAACGGCCGAACTATTATCCACTGATGCTGGTTGACTGTTACTAGGAACATTTGATGTTGCTAGGAACAAACCGGAAACAAAATGAGACCTACTATTACGGCAACCACTGAGTATTTTAATATAATATACTGTAGAACAACAAATTATAATATAATATACTGTAGAAAATAATTTTTTTTTATTATTTTCGGATTTACCGTTGATTTATATTTGATCTACTATAATTAGTTCAAGGGAGTCACATTAGAATATATTATTAAAATTGGGGACAATGGCGAGAGTTTGTATATCAGATAAACATCGGCTGCTCGTGTTTTAACGTGCTTAAAAGACGACCCATCATACGAGTTCATTGGCGAAGTAATTTTAAAATAAACATTGTCTAAGCCGAGAAAATCGAAGCTGAAGTTTATGTAAATGAGGACAACTTACAAATCTATTATCCGACGATTTACATACATTGATTAAACATTCATTTCTTTTGAATTTCCTTCATGAATTATTAATACTGTATTTTGTGTCCAGCATTCGCAAATGTTTTTGTTTCTCTGCTGTCGAAAATTCACTGCTGGCGAGCAACGATGCAAATCAATACAAGTTTTGATATATTTCAGATTCGACAGTTCTTGGTCAACGAGCATGGCCAGATAACGAAATTGGATATACGCATTGTCATTGGCCAATACTCCATCACGTGTTCGGCCGTTTCACTCCCCTCTTTATTTTTTATTATTTCTCCGCCTTATTTTAAATTTCGGATCTTTCTCGGTCGCCCTTCGGAGTATCATCGTGTAACATAAATTAATGTCAAAGATGAACATAAATTATTGCGCCTGCGATACGAGTAGTATAGGGAATGAGGGTTCTAGACCACTAATCGTTTTCATCGCGGTCATCTCTTTTTTAATTTCAACCTTAAATCAACAAGAATCCTGCAGTATTCTCGTCTCAATTTTTCTAGACCATCTTCGAAGAACCCTCCAGATCTTCTGTCTTCATTTCAACTTCCCATCCAATTTCAAACTTTCTAGTTAACACTTTACTCAAAATCCAATTGCAATCAACTCATCGCTTCCAGGGATTCTGATTGCCTGAACACCCAACGACTTCGCTTTCTCACCCACCACCATTCTCAAGTATTTTCTTTCATCTTCTGGTAACACATCATAGTTTTTCCTTAGACGATTCTCATCAGTTACAACTATACACAACGGTACTAGTTTCTTAAACTTAGACCTCTTCAGTGGGATTACTACTTTATATTCTGGTCTAGGAATATGTTTCTCTTCCCGTGGTTCTAAGTCTTCCCAGCAAGCGCCTTCATAGAGTTCTACTGCTTCCTCGAGTCTACAGTATTCACTCTGAGTTTCGACCCTTTCTGGTACCCAGCTTGGTTCCACTTTTTCTTCAATTACCACCTCAGCCTTTATGTCACCTATTGAGTGATGTCCGTACGCGTAACTTGTAACACCATCTTCAAGTAAGTACCTTTTGTCATCGAAACAGCTAAGTGTGATTTTCTTCAGTTGGTAAGTTCCAATCTTATGTTTGATGGACCTGATTGTATTCATCTTATGTCTCATCCGACCTTTAGTCTTAATCACGTTCTTGAAGTTTTCGTGAGTGAATTTATTTCGAATCACATACTTTTTTACACCTTTAGCTGTCATTCCACCTCCGCCACTCTCCTTTACATAAGAGTACATCTTCGACCTTAGCCCCACGAATTCTATCACCGGTACTCCTTCAGCTTCATCCTTAAACTTTCCAATTACCTTCTTATTATGAGCTGAGTAATACGGGGAATCTTTCGGATAATCTGAATTGTCCCAACAATCCTTCTCCTCACCGATCCTCTTAAAGTCCTCGTACACGTCATCAGTCTTGATCTCATACATTAGACTGTCAGTGTCCGTGAATAGGAGCTTTGACTTGTTACCGTACTCCTTTTTGATAGTGTTATAATGGAAGTCGTACATTAGAGTCTTGGATAAGTCTAAGATACTCATTCCCACATAACACGGTTTATTCAGAGTTAACACTTCCTTCAACCTCTTAACTACAATCAAGCTCTCATTCATAATTCTATGTGACTGGAAGCATGGTGATGCTGTAAGTTTTAGGAGGTCGTTTTCGGATGACACTAATTTCACATCAACCCTCTTCCTTAAGTTCTCCATAGTTTTTCCATATATGGAATTATTCATGAGCTTGAAGAAGTTTTTCTCAAACGCATTCTTGGCGACCGATCGTTTTTGAGTATTAAAGTCAATATACTTTTTTAACCAAATTGACTGCTTGAAGGAGACTGCTCTGTGAACCTTTGTAAGTTTCATTCCGAGCTCCATATAGAGTTTTAGATTCCTGACATGTAGAACGTAATTCTTTCTAGGACCCAAGGAGTTTACCAGTTTCCGCACACCTCCAATTGTCAGCTGGAATTTATCAGCAATATCCTTAGCATAGTCTGATAACATTGACACATCAATCTCCTTACTTTCTGGAGCCAGAGGATAACCATTATGTATGTCATGAAGTTCTGCTGGATATTCCATATCAACTTCAAGAACCATACCCCTTCCACTGTCTCCTAAGTAGTCATCAATATTTATTTCGTCAACGTTCTCAATCCACTCAAATTCACCGTTAGGCAGCGGTTGAGACATCGCCCAGCCATATAAATTGTTGGCGTCTAGGTACATCAGGAACTTGTTTTCAGCTTCTTCGTTATAGGTTTCCATATACTTATTATTCGCTGTAGAGTGTCTGTGAGCAATATGACTTACCCCACCGCGCATTCCTTTCTCAAAGAACTGAAACATATCCATATCGCTTACCAATTCTATTTCCTCACCTGACTGCTTTAAGAATGCGTCCCAACTTAGACTTGGTGCTGAGATGCAATGAGCAGGGTCAAGCTTGTAATTCTCCAAGCAGGTCTTCCTGAAATTCTCGAAAACATCTGCTAGAAGAAGAACGTCAGTCTCCAGGTAGAGATCGTGGTAATCTCTCATTGTTTTCATCTTGAAGTGATCCCAGACTTTTAGAGCTCTCTGGTAATCTTCTTCTTTCACTTCAGATTCATATAGAGATGAGTAGAATTTGTCTCTGCTTGGAAGTTCCTTGGTGTCGAGTTTGCTGATATCATCTAAGTATTCATATGGAAATATACCTTTCTGTCTTACGAGATCGAAGTCCTCTCCTTGCCACCGCTGACCGACTATCTTGAAGTCTTCAGGTGAAAGATTACTCGCAAGTGCCTCCAGGGAAGAAGCCATGAACTGTATTGAATCAATGAACACTAGACTTTTACCTAGTGAGAATGAAATATACTTTTCCATGTTATTTGGAATTACGTTAATGTTCATCTTGAACTTACCAATCTCCTGCATTATCAGATGGCTATCGCAACCCCTTAGATTATGGAAGACCACCGGAACTTTCCATGTAATTCTATATTTCAAATTACACATATTATGGGCAGCTCCACGGAACAGTCCAGTTACATGATCATGATCCCTCACTCTATCGTCACCCAAGTCATTGCCGCATATGGAGCAGTTTCTTGTCATGGTGTAATGACCATCTTTTTCTTGAAAATTTTATTTACCATTTCCCGGCACCTGATGGATTTCTTCAGAACTGTCTTCAGGAAGACCTCTGTAGCGTCTGCACCAACATAGCTTGTGTATTTACCGGAGTACTTATCATCATAATGACACACTGTTTTCAACCCGAAACTACAAGCTTTATGTGTCTGGTAAAGTTCTGTTGTACTCTTCTCCTCAGCGTCTTTAGATTCAACTTTTCTTTCCTCAGGAACCAGCATAGACTCAAAGTCAGCATAGATCACAAAGGGTGCAGGCATTGAATTCCTATAATGTCCGAACTTTATTTTTGAACCTTCATTTGGAAGCTTTGTGGCCTGAGTCCCATTTACACTAATACACGTTTCACTATGTTTCTTTAATGATTCTTCGCTAACGCAACTATGGAGGCAATATAAACAGAAGTGTTTCTTGTTTGAGTTTCCGCTAACACTGAAGAGCATTCTATTTACATCCTTTATTAGAACGTAGTGGTTACCACCGTCGTTGTCACCTAGCAGCAGCAGCTCCATATGTTCGTCATATTTAGTCTTGGAGTTTCTGATTGGGTAGAACTGCTTTTTGCCCTTATAACCGAACACTGATATGCTTATTGAATTCTTTCTCTCAATTTTGTCAATATCGCTTATCTTTACAGGGAAGTCTATACCTTCGTAATCTAGGTTCTTTGCGAACTCAACATCTTGCTTTGTAATTGTCGTTGCTCTCCTAGCCTTCGGTCTCACATGTCTCACATGACTCCACATAAAACATTTATTGTCATTGTTTTGCATATTTATGAGTCCACATTTTGGATTGCTAATGTCTGCAGGTAATTTCATATATGAACTACCCTTTAGAGGTTTATACATTGCAATATTAACGTAGTGGCTTTCAATGTTTAGTATAATCCAATTCGAACCTAAGTTCTGGAAGGTTTCAATTCTGGATAAGATAGTCAGTTGGTTTTGAGCTGCAGTGCTTTCGATATCCTCAAAGTTTGTAGCAGTTCCTGTTCTTGACTTGAAGTATATTGAATCCTTCTTTGTTTTGTTATTTCCAATTTCCTTTGACATTCTTATCTTGATGGTTTCCGTATATTTTAGACCTCCCATTCTCTTCAGCTCGTTCACTAATATTCCTCTCACCACCTGCCTACTTGCGGTCATCTGATTTAGTGGATCCATATAATTTGGAGTTATTGAGTAAGTCACAGCTGCTCCATTTGCGGCTGTTTCTATTTTCCTATAAGATGGCTTCTCGAGGTATGTTCCAAATGGATCAATTTCATGTTTCTCTGGTGAGACCACTACTGGCTGTTCCCCAACTTCCCTAGTCACCTTCACAGGCTTTCTTAACTTTGAAGGAGGAACAGGCTTTTTAGTCCTAGGTTTAGGAACAGGTCTTTCCCTAGGGAATACAGTTCTTGGTTTACGAGTAGGTTTCCATGGAGTCACACCTTTCGGTACCTCAGGAGCTTTCGTGTTGGTTTCTTACTAAGATCCACAGTCACCGTGAACTTATTCGGTCCCACCCGAGTTATCACGCTATTCGCGGGAATTGAGAGTTTTATCCGGTTTTGACTTATAAACCTCTCCGCGACAGTTTGCCTTCTAACCTTAGGTTTAGGTGTTTCAGCTACCTTAGCCTTTGGTGGTCTACCTCTTCGTTTAGGGACCTTAGCTTCTGGTGTCTCAGCTTTAGCCTTTGGTGGTCTTCCACGTCTCTTGGGGGCTTTAGCTTCACTATCAACCTTAACCTTTATTGGCCTGCCTCTAGGAACCTTAACAGCACCGTCGGTCTTAGCCTTTGGTGGTCTACCTCTTGGACGCTTCGGGTTCCTAAGGTTCTCTAGTCTTTTCATCTCCGTATTTACCTGGGGATCGTCCGTTCTCCATCTACCTCCCATTGTTGGTGGTAGACCTTCAACTCCTCGGTTAAGTAGACTCTGATATGCCTCCTCGACTAGTAAAGCCTTTGCCTTCTGTCTCTCGGAATATTTCCATGTTGGCATTATACTTCTCTCTCCCTTCTCATTCAATGGGCGTCTCCTTGGCCTCCTAGAGTCTGTAGAACGGTCACCTTCATCTATGAATTGACTTTTTCCTTCAGAGGGATCTTTGCCTTTATCCTTAGGTGCAACTCGATAGAATTTGTCCCTAGATATTCTCTCAACTTCATCCTCGAATCTTTCCTCATAGTCGCTATCATCAATTATCTCACTAAGCGCCATAAGTTGTTCAACGGTCATATTGTTCATGTCAAAGTTTGTGGCCATTTTTTCACTCTTTCTCTATATACTATAGGTAAAAAAAAATAGGCCCATTAAAGGGCCTATTTAATTTTTATTTAATTAATAATTATTTACTTGATTAATATTTATTTAATTAATAATTTTTATTTAATAGTTTAATTATACTTAACTGATAATATTTATTTAATAGTTTAATTATATTTAACTGATAATATTTATTTAATAATTAATATTTTATTTATATCTAAATTTCCAGTTATTATAATATTTACAATTTACAGGTTTCCATCCCAACTCAGGGAAAACTTTTCCATACAACCTGTCCTCAAGGATGTTCACAATTCGTTGAGTCTTGATGTCCTCAGGTGGGTTCCTCAACATCATGTTGTTCATACTGGCTAACCTTAATAGGTAAAACTTATATCTAACTATGTTGCGCCCCCGTTGCAGTCTAAGTCTCTGTATACATCTTACGATGCTTCTAAGCTGCTCCCGCACGGTATCCCTATCCCCAGAAGCAACATGCTCGAATAAGTGTCTCTCAAACCAACGGACTCTATTATGGGACGATTTCTTTTTCAAGTAGTCGTCCTTGTTGTGGTTGTAACTAACATAGTATACGTATGTGAAGTTGTTTATAGCACTAGTTCCACAACGTGTGCATGTATCTGCTCTATCTATTACCACAATTGACTTACTATCACATTCACTACATACTGGGTCGTATGTGTGCCTGACCTTCATTTTATTTCTCACGTATTTCATTACTGCAGCCTCTAGCTCCTCAATGGTGCTTGCGTTCTTACCGACTCGTTCCATTTCATCAGGTGTTACCAGTGTCAGCCAGTCCATTCCCTATACTATATGTGTTAAAATTTTTCTGCTTGTTTTTACGCCTCCTTATTATTCGCCATTCCACATATTTCTTGACTGCGGCCTCTAGTTCTTCTATGGTGTCCACCCTTTTTCCTAAGGTCACCACTTCGTCAACGTCTACCATTGCAAGCCAATCCATTCCTCTATATTATATATGTAAAAATTTATTGTGGTATTTTTATAGCAATAAATAAGCCGCCCCTCCAACCACCCCACCTATAATTAAACCAGAAATTACCATATATTCTTCCATCTCTGGGCTAGGTTTGTAGTGATTGCTTAACTGCGGTCTCCTCGGCATAGCCTTACGTGTTAGCTCATTAATTCTTCTAACGAGTTCCAGTGATTTATTTGTTGTATTAATATCCCTATTCGCCTCAGCTAGTTCTGACCTTAATTGGGCAAGCCTGTTTCTCCTATCAGTGACTTCTTCAAGGTACTTCTCTCTTTCAGCTGTTAGGTTCTCCATTGCAATGTTATGTCTATGGGCTTCCTTAGCATATCCATTCTTGTCAAACATTTTAAATAAGTATCCCGCTCCGGCAAATGCGAATGCGTTAAAAAGTCCTCCCGCTACTGCTCCCGCCATTGTATAGTCTTACCTAGGTTTGAATGGATCATCTGGTAGGTACTTCTTATCTTTCAGGTAAGATACCAGTAGAGATGAGAGGCTAACTGAGACAGCTAACGTTGCCATTCCTTTTGCGTTCTCTGGGGTGCCTAGTGGTTCTTTTAATAGTTTCTTCGATGCCATTGAAATGCTGACTGCTCCTGCTGTAAGTAACACTGCGTTGTACACATCCATCGTCATCTTTGATTCTTTACTCATTTTGTTATAATATATATTATGTTTAATGTATCATTCAAGTGAATCTAACCTAGACTTATCAGCTTTCCTAGTTATCTCAACAGTCTCAGTTACATGCTTGGGTTCCGGTTCCCTGGTTTCCCTCTGATGCGACTTGAATGCTAGCACTAGAGATACCAGTGCTATGGCCACTCCTATGTAGGTAATCATACTGTCATTACTTAATGGCTCCTTAGGTTCTGCAAGTTTCTTTTTCCTCTCCTTTGCTATTTTACTGATTGCGGCTAATCGTTTTCCTGCCGCTACTCTCTTCGGGTCCTTCTTCTTCTCACTTGTTACTTGTTCTTGGATTTGCTCGGGTTTATCTTCCATTCTACTTGTAAGATACCTTAGGTTTAACTGATTTCCATCTTATGAGATAACTTGAATTCTACTTGTGAGATGTCTCAAATTTACTTGCAGGATAACTTAAATCTACTGGTGAGATAACTGGTGAGGTAACCCTAATACTTACCTGAGTTGAACCTTGGTCTGTACGTCTTCACATGACTAGCGGTAGTTTTCACTGCAGCTTTTCTTACAGCTTTCTTGAGTGAGAAGTACTCATTAATTCTAATACAGGTTTTTACTAAGTCATCTGACACCATCACCATGTAACCTATCTTCATAAGTTTGTGGAACCATAACACTTGCTTTTCACTTGCGACTCCGGTGCCTTTGGGAGACTTGAATTCGATGGCAAATCCTTTATACTTCCCCACGGGATTCTCTATGATAAGATCTGGTTGACCACCTTTATATCCCTTCTTCCAGGCATCACATCTCCTAGATGATGTATCCTGATACTCACCTAGACCGGGTATTACCACAGCCTCCGGGTAGTTGTCCCTGATGTAACTCACGACTGTGTGGTGCAGGTCCATTTCATTTAATAGGATCATTTGGTTGTATCTAAGTGACCTTCTATCTGGTAAACTGTATGTGCCAGTTTTTCGTATAGATGGTAGGACATCAGTAAATACCCACCTCCTGAACTCCCTTGCTGTATTAAGCTCTGATCCAAAAATTAACTGATACAAGCCCTGTTCTGTAATTAGGACTGTGCTAGGATGTCCCTTTGGAAGGGTGCCCTCGAGGGCACCCTTCCGGATGGCCCCCAGAGTGCACTTATCCTCTTCCCAAACATGGTTTCTATCCGCTTTCCCCGTGTTAAGGTACCCAAGAGATTCCGCCACATCTTTTGCGTAAAACAGGATCTCATCACCTTTCCTAGTGATTCTCACACTAACGTTAAAATCTCGGTTTCTAAAGAGTTTTTCCATCTTTCTCTATATTATATATGTAAAAATTTTTGGATCTATTTTATTAAGTATTTAATTTCAATTTATTGATAGGCATTCCCTCTTCCCACCCAACCTATCACCAAGTGTGTCCTACAGCAAATAAAATACTAGACTCCATGAAGGTTCTTGTATATCTTTACTACTGTTTTAACTGTATCATCTTTAAAGTTGTAGTAGTCATTCTGGAGAGGTAGTATGATCTTATTCCTAAGTGCATATAAGTCTTTCTCTATTGAGTCCAAAGTTTTCTGAATCTTATCCAGCCTCTCATTGCTAGCGTTAGTTTTTTCAATCAGTTCATTAATTATGTCTTCAAATTCAGTTCCTTCCCAGGCGTTTCCCCAGTCGTACGGCTCTCCGAGTTGAGACATTCTTCTTCACTATGTAATAGAATATGTTTTGCTTCCTCAGATATTTCCTCAGTCTTTCCCTTCTTATTCCACTTGTGAGCAACCACGTGCTTAGCTGTTGTGCATCCACCTGATATGAGACCAATGAATGGAATGTTTGGTGATATCATTCTAGTTAAATAACATACGTCATCCTTTAAAAGCTTATCACTAAGTAGTTCCTCTGACAGCTTCTCAGAAGATTCCACCGCATTAAAACTTCCTAGTATGGAAGCAAACTTTGAGATAATAAGTGTTGATAAGAAGTCACTTGCGCATGACATCCTCTGACTCTCATACTCACTGTAAAGTCTATCTATAACATCTTTGTTTGACTTTCTTATGAAACCTGCGGTCTTATCAATTACACCGTCCCTAGATAGCTCTATAAGCTTGTCTCTTTCGCTTTCAGTTTGCGACTTATCTGCGGCTGACTTAGTTTTTCTTGCGGTAGACTTAGCTTTCTTTTGCGGCGCCTTTGCGGCCTCTTCTACTTCTCTCACAGCCGTAGATATTTCTTCATCAGATTCAGATCCCATCTTCTATATCCTACGTGATGTTTTGTTTGATAGTGTATGTGTAAGGGTGAATAAGTAGTATATCTAATGCGGTGAACTTCCTATCTTTTAGTATTTTCGTAATCTCTGTAATTGTCTCCTGAGGAACGCCACTTAGGTAATCATCTGTTATGACCTTCATATCTCTGCGACTAGGGTTGTAAAATGTAACTAACCTGGATATGTTCTCCCTGAATGGTTTTGTAATTGATGATAATTGTTGGGTAATTATAATAACTGATAGGTTGTAATGTCTTGCGGAGAATGCCAGACGCACCAGTTCTGAGACCCTTTTCTTTACATCCTGACCTGCAGCACAATCGTCCACTATGATGAGCGTTCGAGTTCCACGAAATATGGTGGACACTGCCTTGAGAATAAGATTGATCATTTCTTGTGAACATGGAATTTGTATGACTCCGTGGTCACTAATATGAGCCCAGTTAATGTAAGTCGTATTCCATTCTATTGTTGGACATATAATTACAATATAATCAAAAACTTTATTGTATTCTATTTCTAACATATTAAGTAAGAACTGAGTCTTACCACTTCCAGTCATTCCTACTATAAGCATGTTGAATGGTGGTTCAAGTTGCATCTCTATGCTTTACCGTTGGTGCAAGCTAGTAGTAACTTAGTTACTGGCGGCTACGCAGGCTACGTCTAGTATTGAATACTTGATAGATCTCTATTTGCGAAGTTTAGGAGAGCATCTGATACAATAAGAATGTTGCATTGAACGTCAGCTGTTGTGGCTCTCTTCTTGATTTCCAGGAGTACTCCGGATTGCGTGTTAACAATCTTTTTGCCTCCACCTGTGGTATCATCTTGTGTTGACCTAAGATCGATTACTAGAGCGAAACCATTGGTGAAGAACTTACTGATGGACATAAATTCGTCTGCCATGGATTTCTCACACATAGGACAGAAGAATCGTTTTGCCTCTTCGAAGAACCTATTTTTATGAAGTCCTTGGGAGAAAACTGCATTAGGCACACCCTCAATGGTAAGGTTCACTTTATCAATATTTGGGTAAATATATTCTTCAGAATCAGTTCTCACTCTATTGGTAAATAGAAGGACAATTGCTGACATGCTCTTTCTGGGGATGTTAATGTTTTCATTAACAATGGTAAGATCTTTGTCCCAGTTACCCGTACGCATAAGTGTGACGTGTTTGTAGGACAGTGAGCGACCTGTTGAATACATCCTTGATACTTCATCTGCAAGGGCGTCATTCTCAATGGTCTCGTATTCTAACTCAAGATTATCAAGTTTGTAATTACCCTTAGCTTCACCTCCTTGGGCAGTCATAATCTCATCTGATTGCGGGAGTGTGAGGATGTACATAGGATTGTTATTCATGGAGAACGGTGTGTAGAGTCCATGGTCTGCAATTATTTTATCAATTGGTTTTCTCAGCTTAGAGCCGTACACACTATGGAGAAGTGCATCTGCTACTTTACCGGCATCACCAACCTTTACTCCTGAGTCGTCACCTGATATTAGCTTCCTGAGATTCTCACTTGCGAGACCCTGTTTTGTCATCTTTTTTCTGTCACCTAGTGTTAGCCATAGATCTTTGTATATTTCGTACAAACTCTCTCCTGAACAGTCATAAGCTGTTTCACCTGCTACTTTAATCTGAAGACGTTTAGCTATCAACTTAGACAGGTTATTATTAAAGTGGCTTTTTGTATTGGAATTTTTAAAGTCAAATAATAGTGCAAGTGAACCTGGGACTAGGCAAGAGTCAGGTTTTAGTTTGGGGATGTTAATGTATAGCTCTTCACCCGGGCTGATAGTTGTTGGATTAAATGTTACGACACTTCTAGTTCTAGGTCCTTTTACAGATGTCATGCGACTCCTCCTGAAGCCAGGCTGGAGTTCTCTTTCTGTGGGATTCATGCTTTATACAATATGTAATGTTTAGTTGTAAACATATAAGGCTATTCCTACAGCTATTGCTATTTTCCATAAGTTTGATGATATGAATTTAATTAGTTTGCTTGATACATCAGGGGGTGGCCCCGGTTGTGAATCTGAACCTTTATTTGAAAAGTTTGCCGCTCTCGAGGAAAGTTTCCTGGTCTGTATGATGACAGCTGTAAGGAGAGCAGCAACTGATATTATAATACCTGCAATCACAACTCCGAAGTTATCTTCAACCCGTGACTTGAATCTTTCATACCTCGTTAGATCTTTTCTAACATCCTTCACCATTGCTCCCGTGCTATCACCACTGAATATAGGTTGATCGTCTTCTGGGATACTATCCTCTGCGACCTGGAATAGAAGACCCTCGAAGTTGTAAGTATTATCTACCCATTCAGTGTCAGGACCTGCGGGCTCTTTGGAAGTCTCACTTATGTCTGCCTTCTTAGGTTCCTTGAGTTCAGGTTCTTTAACCCTGGGCTTTTCTGGTTTCCCAGGTTGGGACTTCTCAGGTTTCTCAGGTTTAGACTTTCCTGGTTCCTCAGGTTTAGACTTTTCCTTCTCCCATTCTTCAAGCTTTTTCCTCCAATACTCTGTTTTCTCCTTATCATCTTTCAAGGATTCTAGTCGCCTTTTAATCTCAACTTCTGCGTTTTTCTTGCGTTCTATTTCAGCAGCTTCTGCGAGCCTCTTGCGTTCCAACTCAGCTGCCTTTCTCCGGTCCTCTTCCTCCTTCTTCACAGCTTCTTCCTTCCTGCGTTTTTCTTCCTCCACTTCTAGCTCCTTCTCAGGTTCATTAGGATTGAAACCCAAGTTTTTTATAACTTCCTTCAACCTGTTTATTCTTTCTGAGTAGTTGGTCCTTCTAACTTCAGCCTTAGCTATTCTCTTAAGTACAACAAGGGTTTTTACCTCTTCCTTGAGAGTGTTGTGGGTTGCGTTTAGGTAGGCCTCAGTTTCTGAATTCTTCCAGACCTTCATTCTTTTAAGTTGGCTGACATATTCAATTTCTCTTTGAATATCTCCTTTCTCATCTGATTCTCCTGTTCCCACTTGCCTCCGCAGAATTCCTATTTCAGAGTCCATATCTTCAGGTTCCATTTCCTTGTAGTTCGGGTATAATCTATCTAGCTCATCTAGTTCCTCAGCTCTGAAGTCTCCTCCCCAGATCTCAGAATATTCACTACTGTATTCATCAAGGATGGTGCTTACCCTTTCCATCCATGCTGCTTTGTATTCAACACTTTCAGCCATTTATACTTTACTTAGTATAATAGTTATATATAATTAGGGCAGCTGCTACAACTAGTACCCATAAGTTTGATGCTAGCCAGGCAACTCCTTTTGCTCCCCATGACAGCGCAGTTGTAACTACGTTCAGGATTGGAACTAGAATAGGCCCTGCTTTCTTTGCTAAATTTGCTAGTGCTTTTGCTACCTTACAAGTGGCCTTCGCTGTCCCTACAATGGCTCCCCTAGCATGGATTAGTATAGCTGTAATTAAACTATTAGCTGTTGACACTGCTACCCCCACAAGTCCCACCTTTTCCTTTCCTACCCAGTCTATAAATTTACGTAATCTGGAAATGTCCCCTAGTTGTGCCTCTCTTGCTTCCTCTACTACTCTCTGCTCTAGTGTCCTATCCCTAGCTTCCTTCAAACTGTCAATTCTTTCTAGGAGGGAATTATACGCAGTTGTACCTTCCGCTGAGCTGGCTAGCCTCACGGTTTCATTAATAGCTTCATTAAAGTAGTCAGCCTGAACTTGTAACGCTCCATTGGGACCTGTTCTACCTTCTACACTTGATCCATTAGGTGGGTTAAGAACACCCCTCAGTTCATTATTTTCTTGCATTGTTAGCCCTGGAAGGTCTCCTAGTTTTGCGCTTATATCTATTAACACAATGTTCTCACGGTTAGTGTATTCCTTAGCACTGGTATCAAATTGAGGCTCTTCTTTGGTATCCTCGTAAATTGATTCATCACTTCTAATTATATTGTCAGGATTCGTAGGTACCTCTTTTATTTTCTTTAGAAGGTTCTTATATTCTCTCAGAGCAGGTGAGTCCTTTGAGTACACTAGATTCTTGGTCTTACCACGTTTCATTATTTGTGTCCCACTTTTATCAATACCTTGTTCACTTCTAAATATCAACACCTCTGTGCCATCCTTGAGTGTTCTGATAGATGATCGTTTGATAAGTTCTCTGACATATTTATTCTTAGGGTCTAGTATTAGTCCCTCCTTACCTTTAATAACTCTTGCGACAGCTTGAACGCGCTCTACTTGGTTTTCGAAATCTCTTTTTTTATTTGCTGTAAGCCGGTCTTCTGAGAACTTTTTCAGTTCTCTAGGCGGGCTTCTATTTCATCCCAGTCAGCGTCAAATGATTCGTTGAATGCATCTAGCACGTCTGGAAGTACATTGTTTGGGTCTTCCACAAAGTTAACTTCTGGGACGGTTGTACTTCCAGATGGACCTGAGATGTTCACTGTACCATCATTTCCTTCAGTGAAAGTTGTTTCTTCTATTTCACGTCTCTCCATAAGATTCTTTACGTAGTTAAGTTCACTTTTAAGATTAGTTAATGCTATAGGGTCATCACCATACATAGCCTCTCCCTTCACCCTTGTATCTAACCTACTAAAAGCAGTTGTTAGGTCATCATAATTAAGGTCGTCATATTGAGGATAACTTTTTTCTGTCTCCTCCATTTCATATTCATCATAGTCCTCTGCACCCTCCATAATACTTTAACCTATGTTAGGGACTTAATGTCTCCAGCTGGTATCCAACTGTTAAATTTGTCATCGTAACCCAACCACTTAACTAGGGCCATCTTTTTACCCTTCACTGTTCTTCTTCTTAGTACTTTCTCTATCTTAAAATCAGGTTCTCTTCCTTCAGCGCTATACAGTTCCTGTTCATAGAATCTGCCAATTATTGGTTCATCAGCACTGTCTTCTATTGTGTACGTGTTTGGATGTCCGTGATACACTTCCGTCACCGTAAATAACTCCTCTGTAAAATTTGCTTCGTACCCTTTTGTGAACACTGATTTGTACTTTGAAATCCTGACACTTTCTCCGACAGCAAACTTCGGTTCTGACGGCTTGCCTAAATTGTGACTAAAAAGTGTCTTCCATACTTCAGTCCAATTGGACTCATTTACACTGTCTGGTGTTGTTTTAATTGATCTGTTTACTGAACTGTTGTAATTATCGGTTAAGTCTTGAAGAACGTCTAACCATTTATATGTACTGGCACTGTAAAAGTACTTCCACATTAGAGCCTTCAGTGTTCTGTTAAATCTTTCCACAACTGCGGCCTTTTTGTCTGAGTAAGTAGAGAAAAATTCAATGTTATGTTTATTGAGCAATGACTTTACTTCTTTGTTGTAGAACTCTGTACCCTGATCAAACTGGGCGAATTTTGGGTATTTACCAAAACGATTATTAAATTGCTCTAAAATGTTACTGACTGCGTCCTTCATTGATGTCGCGTTTTTCCTATACACTGATACTGTGAATGCGTACCTACTTAGTATTTCAATGGATGTGAGAATCCATCAGTATCCCTTGTTCTTGTCGTCATATTTTGTCATTTCAACTAAATCCATTTGTAACTGTTCACCTAAAGTTTGGACGTACGTCTGTCTGAACTTATGTTTCCTAAATACTTGTCTGTACCTAGTGTATGTGTCTTGCTCATTTATCCATTTCTTGACCTGGTTTCTGGTTACTTTAAGTCCGTCTGATACTGCTCTATGATATAGTTTCTCTGGTGTTTGGAATCCAGTCTTAGGATTATAGTAAATATCTCGTAGTCCCTGTTCTTTGATAATATCATCGTCCATCTTATATTAACCAATGTAAGCTAACTACCGACTACGTTAGTAGACGCTACGCTGCGTAGTTAGTACTCAAGGTACATCTCAAGTAGCACTTCACCTATATCAATAGGTTTCCCGTCTTGATCTGTCATGTGGAATACAAGTTCTGAGAAAGAACCCTTAATAACTGAAATCCTGCTTTCAACATCAATGTAACTAACTACTGAGCCTAATAATGGTCTGTCAGTTGGAACTGTAACACTTGTTATTACATCGCCTGGGTCTTCCCCAAGGGTTAACGTTAAAACTGTTACTTACTAGGTTGCAGTGTATATTTACGTATCGTAGACCATTATTAAAGTCAACTTTGCTATCACTTGTCAAACTCCTCCCTTTTAGTAGAATCATAGGATTATTAAATCTATTAAAGCCAAGTATTGTTAAAAACCTGGTTTCTATTGTAATGTCCTGCTTTACAGCTTCTACCTGGCATCCTGCTGTTTCTGGAAAATATGTTAGTTTAACACCATGTCTCTCAAGTAATTTTCTCATACTGTCAAATGTATAGTAGCCCTTGCTGACAACCACGTCAGTTTCACCACCAGCTGTTTTAACCTTGAGAATAGTTGTTGGTTCTCTTATATTGAAATATTCCCAGAAAACTAAAACTCTCTTCACAAAGACTGAATTATAGTTGCTTGTTAAAACTGAATTCTGTAGTGGTATGATAGTGTGCGAGCTCTGGAGTAAAATTGTGAACTTCATCGTAATAACATACGTTAGGTTATTAAGAATGAGACTAGGTGGAGGAGACGTTGGGAAGTCACCGTATAGGTCTTACCAAGACTATGAAAAAAAGTATGGAAAGGAAGACGATGAAGGTTATGTTGATCCTATTGCTGGTAAAAATGCAGAGAATGCTGAGAGGGCCAGGTTTATTAAAAAGTACCCTTACGCTGACATGAATAGGTTTAGATTTGAAGCAAGGTTTACCAGTAGTGGCGATGTAGGAGTTATCACTTGGTTTGTTGATTTAGATGGTATATCCTCGTATGATATTAGATATGACGGTTTCAGGAAGGATAAGGAATTCACATCTTATCTCACTAGTATTACTCCAGTACAACTCAAAACTATGACAGACATGAATCAACCTCCGCTAGAAGTAACAACTAAGTGGCCTTCAATGTGGTCCAGTGGTGGTATAGTTCAGAAGATAAGTTTTACTGAGGGTGATCCTGTTATTGGAAAGTATCCTCCTATTACAAGAAATAATCCTATCTCCAACTTTAAGGTTTATGTTAGTAACAGTGAGTTTTTCTATAGTAACCTTCCCAGGATTAGTAATTTTATTAGTATTGATAATGTTACACCAAAGTTTAATAGAGAGTTGTTGTATTATGCTGCAATATGTGGAACTTATGTAGCTACGTATCTATGTGGAGTCTCTACTTATCATACAAGTCCTCATAGTAATGTAAATCCTATTATCACATCTATTATGAACTTTCACGTGTACTTATGGATTAGAAGGTTTATTAAAAATCCTAGTTTACTTCAGCAGTATTCTGATAGGTTAAAGGTAATATCTGGCAACATTCCTGTTAAGGGTCAGTGGGAGGTTGATAAGTTTAGTAGTAGTCGAGCATCTATTGGAATTGTGTACAGGAAGTTTAGAAATGAGCATAGAACTGTTAGAAATGTTAGGTATGCTAAAAATACATCTGGAATGATAGTTGGGATTAGTTATGATGAGCTTACAGGTATGTCTTCCCTTGCTAGTCTAAATGATTATATGAGGTATTACGCAGACAAGAGTGTGGGTCTTGTTGATACTTCACTTTTACAGGAAAGCTTGCAGTGTTATGTATACTGTGTCCTTGGAGCTCAAGCTAATACTCGGTGGGCTATAGTAAACCGTGGAACCTCCTCTTTACTATCTCAAAAAGGATTCCGTAAACTTGTAGAAGATGTTGTAGTTCAAACTGATATTTCAGTTGGAATCGCTAATATGAGAACAGCAATTAGAGATACTAACGCAATAGTAAATACAGCAATAAATCCTAACATTATTTTATTTCCATCAAATTTGGTAATATTAAAGGATCCTATTCCCGGTTATAATAATATTCTACTTAAACCTAACTCTAGTGTTAAGTTTGGTGTAAATACTAAAGTAAATTATGTAGGTGTTAAGAAAGCTGATCCTCCAAAGAAGCAACATCAGGATACAACACCTGTTAGTCACCTTGATACTCTTAGTGGATACGTAAAACAACAGATTAAACCTAAAGCAAACAACTCCTTTCGTAAAACTATGGTTAACAGTAACAACCCCCCGGGGGTTGACGCTATCGCTGGAGCTGGGATTGGTGCTATAGTTGTATTTATTCTAATGAAAATTATCTTGTAAACCTTGTGTATGTTATAAAATGGCTCTCTATAAGGGATATATCAAAGGTGTAAATAATACTGATCCAACAACTGGAAGTGTCTTTGATAAGGATGGATTTACCATGAAGGGTGACATTGAGATGGATAGTAATGAGGTGAAAGGTCTCGGTGCACCAACAGATGATACTTCAGCTGTCACAAAAAAGTGGGTAGATGATGAGATCATTATACGGGCTGCCCTTACAATTCAACCAGCAGGTTTTACTATGACTGGAGAAATTGATATGGGAGGTAATAAGATAATTAATCTTGATAATCCTACTAATCCAGGTGATGCCGCCAGTAAGAGTTGGGTTGAAGGCAGCCGTAGACATGTACATGCAAGTCTACCTGGACTTATCCTTACAAATGATCTCAATATGTCAACCAATGAAATAAAGGCTTTAGGTGATCCTACAACTGGAAAGTCTGCTGTTACTAGAGACTGGGTAGTTGGAAGGCTAAATAGACCTGTATCAGGACTTAATATTGCTGGTGATATCAATATGAAGGACCATGAGATTAAGAATCTTAAGGACCCTAGTGAGGATCTGTCTGCTGTCACAAAAAAGTGGGCAGTTGATAATAACTTTGCTAAGAAAGGTGGAATTATGCAGGCAGATGTGTCCATGGGAGGTTGGAGACTGTTTGATCTTATTGACCCTAGACTAGACACTGAAGCTACGTCAAAAAAGTGGGTTGAAGATAAAATATCTGCGCTTCCTAACCACTCAGGTTTTACGATGACAGGTGATCTTAAGATGGGTGGACATGAAATTAAAAATATTGGGGACCCTAGTGCTGGTTCATCTGCTGTCTCAAAAAAGTGGGTACAGGATAATGTAGGTTGGGGAAGCAAGGACCGCAGGTCCCTAGGTGGTGAACTTGATATGGGAAACAATGAAATTATAAACTTAGGTGCTCCTACAACTGATAATTCTGCTGTGTCAAAGAAATGGGTCACGGATCATGTCAGTGGAAGTTCTGTAAGTAGTAGTGGCTTTAGTATGAGCGGTAATATTGACATGGGAAGAAACGAAATTGAAAATGCTGGGGATCCCACCAGTGACCAAGCTGTAGTCACAAAAAGCTGGTTTAATTTAAATGAAGGAACATTCTTACGGCTAGATGGAACGGGATCCTTAAATGTTGGTGGTACAGTTAATTTTAGTAATGCGCCTAACTGTAACTCTGACCCTGGGAGCCCAAACAATCTTGTACGGTTACAGTATCTTAAGACCTACACAAATAACTTACTAAAGCTTAGCGGTTCGCGAGCAATAATAGGCAGCCTAAGAATGGGTGGAAATGAAATAATAAATATTGGGTCTCCTAAAACTGATAATTCTGCTGTGTCTAAAAAATGGGTCACGGATCATGTTAGTGGGAGTTCTGTCGATAATAGTGGCTTTACTATGAGCGGTAATATTGACATGGGTGGTAATAGTATTACAGGACTAAATAGTGGGTTAAAGGGGAGTTCCAGTGCTGTTTCTTACGGTTCTATGACTTCCTGGTGCGCACAGTTTCTTAAACGTGATGGCGGCACTTTAGCTAGTAACTTAGATGTTAATGATTATGAGTTAATTAGGGTTGGAAGTCCTACGACAGACAGTTCAGCTATAAGTAAGAAGTGGGCAACTGATGAGTTCATGAGTAGTAGAGGTGGACTGGTAAAGGGTGACTTGGACATGGGAGATTCAAGTGGAATTCTAGATTTAAAGGATCCTGTAAATGATAAGGATGCTGTTAACAAACAGTGGGTAGAAAATAATTTCCTGAAACCTTCAACTGGTCTTACTCAAGCAACGGCTGACTTAAGATATGTAAGAATACGGAGACATATACATGCAGAATGGACTTGGGGTTACCGTGGTGTAGCAGTTGCTGCGGCAAGGTACTACGCCTACTGCCACAATCAGATTCCCCCTTCATGGAGGACTGATCCTATTAATAATATGGCTGACCTCAATCTTGAGTCAATTACTATTAAATCGGATTTCCCACTTTATCGAACCTGGTTAAACATACCCTTATCCCTGGTCCTGTGGGCTACTGTATGGGAAAAACAGTCTAATGGAAAATTTACACAGGTACGTAAGGAAATCGCTCTAAGAACGGTGGACTTAACAAAACTGACTTACACTTGGTTTAATGGAACTTTTACAAATAATGGTGGAAGTACAGCTTGCTACGTTTTCAAGGGTAATAGTTTGTTCTATTTAGGAGGCCAGCCGGACCTGGTAGATAACACGGTAGCCTGGTGTATTATAGTCAAACCTGAACACTGAATGCCAACAGGGACTAGTATGGATATGTCATTCTGCTGGTCACTTCGATATTCAGGGTCAGGTGCTTAACATGTGGTTAATCATGAGATAAGATGTCAAGGTGGAGGTCAGTATTCTCCTGCTTAGGTAAAATTTGTGGCTGTCGTAAAAGTTCAAAAACAAAAGCACCAGGTGATATAAATTTTTCCGTATCTAATAATATTAACGTTGGAGTAAGTACACAAAATAAGAAGGACGACCTGGACTTCAGACCAAGTTCTAAAATTTACGGTCATCTAAAAATGCTTGAGGAAAAAATCAAGTGTTAACTAGGAGGTTTGATATTGGATGGGAAGTTGAAATGAAGACAGAAGATTTGGAGGGTTCTTCGAAGATGGTCTAGAAAAATTGAGACGAGAATACTGCAGGATTCTTGTTGATTTAAGGTTGAAATTAAAAAAGAGATGACCGCGATGAAAACGATTAGTGGTCTAGAACCCTCATTCCCTATACCACTGATAGGCTAATACCGCTTTCAACATTCAAAATGGCGGCCGATGAAAATTGAAAACATTTACATGTAATTAAAAGGTTAGTATAAATTTACACAAGTATTTCTGGCGTGCTCCCTTAGATTTATGGGAAAGCAGTTGAGTAAAAACATGCATAAGAAGTATATCTGCAACAATTGTCTGAATCCGTTTAGGAACGAGGAATTATTGAAAAAGCATCGAGAGTTGTGTTTGGATCACGAAGCGCAGACATGTACATATCCTAAAAAAGATAGTATTTTAAAATTTGAAAATCATCACAGGATTCACGACGTTCCGTTTGTGGTGTATGCGGATACGGAATCCTTATTGGAACCACTTTCTTACGACACGAAAGAAAGTCTGGATTATTCGAGTACGAAAAGAACACAAAAACACAAGGCGTGTAGTTTCGGTTATCTGATCAAATGTTTCGACGAAGAGATTTATCCGTCGAAATACGTAAGTTACACGCAACAATACGAAGACGAAGACGTGATGGCAAAATTTTACGAGTTGTTGGAAAAGGATAGGAAAGAAATTTACGAGAGATTTAAATTTCCCGTTCCGATTAAAATGAAACCGGACGACATCGAGGATTATACAACGTCCGAGTCGTGTTATGCGTGCAACGGTCCGTTTACAAAAGACAATTGGAAGGTAAGAGATCATTGTCATTACACGGGTACGTATCGTGGCGCGGCATGTAACCGATGTAATTTGACGATGAAGAATCCGAAATTCACTCCGGTCTTTTTCCACAATCTGGCAGGTTACGATGCACATCACGTCGTCAAGTGTTTTGGAGGAAGCGAGGGGGATGTCGACTGTATCGCACAGACGTCTGAGAAATATATTTCATTTACAAAACAAATGGTGGTTGGATCATATACTTGTGATGAAAGGGATAAGGATGGAAATCCTACCGGGGAAAAGAAAACGGTCAATGTTAAACGTAATTTACGGTTTTTGGATTTGTACAAGTTTATTCCGTCGCCGTTGGGAACTCTCGCAGAAGATTTGGAAGGGAATGATTTTAAACTGACGGATGAAATGATGGGAAACTATACGTCGGATCAACGTCAGATGTTAAAACGAAAAGGTGTTTATCCGTACGAATGGATGAATGATTTCGCGAAATTTTCCGAACCGTCTCTTCCATTACAAAAGGAATTTTACAGTAGTTTGACAGACGAGGATATTACGGACGAAGATTATATACACGCACGAAAAGTATGGGAGTCGTTCGATATAAAAACCATGCGGGAATATCACGATCTCTATTTAAAAGTGGACGTGTTATTACTGGCGGATATTATGGAAAGATTTCGCGAGATCTGTATGGGGAATTACAAGTTGGATCCTGCATGGTATTATACGTCGCCGGGATTGGCATGGGATGCGTGTCTGAAAATGACACGTATCCGTCTGGATTTAGTTTCCGATCCGATCAAGTTTAATTTTATCGAAAAGGCAAAACGTGGTGGAATTTGTATGATCAGTAAAAGATACGCCTCCGCCAATAACAAGTATGTGAAAAATTTCGATCCGGGAGGGAAAAGTACATTTTTACCTTACTGGGATGCAAACAATCTATACGGCTGGGCCATGTGTGAAAAACTTCCGTACGGGAATTTTGAATGGATGAATTTAGATCAGTTGAAAAACTGGGACAGTCTTCCAAATGGAAAAGGTTGTTATGTCGAAGTGGATTTAAAATCTGCATAATGGCGGACGGCAGCAAAATTTTAAACTCGCCTACAGTAAGGAATTTTAGTCTTGATCGTGTTGATATACTCTCAATAAAATTGCTAAACATTAATACACACTTAGTCTATGATGGTACACGTATAAAGTGGTCAAATGATCTGATATCTCTGAAGAATTTTACCGAAAATGTTGTCGGTTTGGTTGGTTGCTGGAGGTCGCCCGGTGGCAAATCTAAACAGTTTGTAAGCAATGACCTAGATCTGACAATGACTTGGCACCCAGGTAAGCAAAATTCTTTGCTGTTCAGCGGGAAGGACGGTGAATCCTTAAAGAAATTATTGATAAGTACTTTGAACACGCCAAGTGATACTACACATAAAATACCGGACGAGCCAAAATCATCGACAGGAGAATCGCGTGACATTGGCAAAATTACTAATTCTAGTGAATGCCCAAGCCAGTCTATAGCTGAAATAAAAGCGATTAAGGATAAAATTGACGGTGTATTTGTGATTGTAAACAAGCTTTGTTATTCTACAACTAGATTACTAAATGAATTTTCTGCAATTCTCGCCAGAAAGGATCTTCACGATTCCACTACCCAATCTGATTTCGAAGTACATAACAATGTCGGATTAAATATAGCTGATGCCACAAACGCGATAGATAACCAGTGTACATACACGCTTAGTGGTTTATCGACCGAAATTGAAGGTCTCAAACTAAACATCATAATCACAGAATCAAATATTTTAAGCAAAGTTCAGTCTAACAATCAAGCGATTGAGCAAATTCGTCACGACCTAGCCTCAATCAAAAGCCATCAGAGTAAAAGTAACTTCATTTCAGACAATAATACTGTCCCAATTACAAATTCTGAATCAATTAATGTTGGACCTACAGCTAACTCAACCAAGATTGATAGTACTGCCACGATTCCCATATGTAAACATGGTTCAAATCAGTCTTGTGCTCAATTACGGTCAACCGTAATCTGCCAACAAAATACCAACCCTCCCGGAGTAGCCCAGTTTTGTTCTGTTAGTAGTAACAAGCCAAATAACAAGTTAACGCTCCAGGCCTACCCTAATTCTAACAAACACGTTACCCAGCAAATCGAAGGTGCACCAGCAATAAATAAAGGTCAACAGAATCATTATAAAGTATGCAAATCCACCTCCGACCATAAATTAGAAACTCCCAAGGCCAATCCTGAAGTAATTAAAATTGGATCGACTGCTAACACAACAAAACCCCTTAGCGTAGGCGCTGGTTCTGCTAAACATGAATCAAAGCTGTATTACGCTCATCATTACAACTTAGTCAGTCCTGTAAAACAAAGTAATTCCCATCAACATTCCCAAGCTGTTTTTCGCCCACAATCAAATGTCAGTTGTGTGAAGCCAAAACCAAGAAATAAACAGAATGTACAACATATTTCAAACCTTAGTTGTGCTAATACTGGCGAAAGTCAGCCGGCACCAAGTGGGACTGGATCTTTGAAATGGTTGGCCCGCCTACCTCTGGTTGAAACGCTTAACGCGACAGTTAGTAACCCCATGCATACATGTCGAAGTGGGGCCGAACCCCTTGATTGGATAGGACGGTTGCCCCTACTTGTTAATTACTCGACACATGCGCCTCGCTCACGCCAGACTCAAAGGAATGAAACAGGAAAGATGAACCGGCATACGTTTTTTCGGTCGCGATTCAGCCAGCAGGCAGACTGGTTGAATTACCTGGAGTTTGTCCGTCGCACATTGCAATAAACTTGGAGATCCCTCTCGCAGCTAGTAACGACACTATAATCACACCAGAACGAAACACTATACCAGTAAGAATTACATCTTACCATGAATTCGAAGGTCAGCAGTCTAGCGCTTCGTGTTATAATGAACATATTCCTAATACTAGCAAACGAAACCGTAGCGGAACGCGTAATCCAATTGAAATTCCAACCAAGAATCCATCCCTATATCAAAGCACGTCTCTATATCAAAGCCCAAAGTGCGCCCAAAGTAATTTACTGACATTCTTTCTCTCAAATACAAGATCACTTTTACCAAAGGTGGATGAATTAAAAATTATACTTGACCAATATGATGTGAGTATGGCCTTCATAACCGACACATGGTTAAATGAGAAAATCGACGATGCAGCAGTTTGTATTCGCGGGTATTCAATAGCAAGATGTGATCGAATTGATAAACTTGGCGGTGGAGTTTGTGCTTTTATTAAATCAGACATCCCGTTCAAAATTCTAACAGAATTTAATGACATCAATTTTGAAACCTTATGGATCTATGTACGACCTTATAAACTTAATCGAGGCTTCTCGTGTTTGATCGTCTGTGTGGCCTATAAACCCCCATCCAGCGACAACGCCGCGTTTATAGATCACCTCAGCTCAACACTTGACCTCGCTCTCAGTAAGTACCAAAATGCAGGTATATTTTTACTCGGAGATTTTAACAGATGTCCTGTCT